AGCCTGGAGCGTTGCCTGGGGTTGTTGTGACCCCAGCCTGGCACTGAGCCTGGTGGAACCTCATACAATTGGCCTTGGCCCATGGATCCAGCCTGTCCCCATCCCCCTGCAGAGCCTCACCCCATGGATCCAGCCTGGCCAGGTCCCTCTGCAGACCCTTCCCACCCTCTGGCAAACCCCCACTCCCACCTGTGGGTCCCATGGGTCACCTGAAAACATCTGCATTTCCCATCTGGGGTCAGAGGAGCAGTGCTGGGGTGCCCACGTGGTGCCAGCAGAAGCAGACAGTGCTGGGCAGGGTCTGTCTGACTCCCTGAATTTGCACTATTTTTCTTTTTTGCCCTTTTCTGTACGGGCAGAGCTGCTCTGCAGGTTCCCTGGGTGCTGCTGGGTGCCCTCGGGCTCCTGCACCCCTGGGGCTGCCCCGTGCGGGAGCAGCTCCTTGCAGGAGCTCCCAGCCCCATCCTGCAGCCTCCTCCTCCCCACCTGGTCACCGAGGGGGCCCGCCAGCCCCTGCAGAGCCCTGGGGGATGGTGGAGGTGGGGCTGTGCTGGAGGAGAAGCTGACAGGGATCACTTTTCCTTCCTGTGCTCCCCGAGCTAAATATACCGCGCGGCAGCTGAGGGACACGTTCCCGCTCGGTCACGGGGAACAGGCTGGGAGGACAGGGGTGGTTTCAGCTCTGGCTGCAGCAGGGATCAGGGCTGGGCATTTTCCCATTCTCACTGAATCCCAGACTCGTTTGGGCAGGAATCACAGAAAGTCACAGAGTGGTGGGATGGGAAGAGAGCTCTGGAGATCCCCCCTTCAACCCCCCAGAGCAGGATCCCTCCAGCAGGTCCCACAGGAACCTCCAGAGGGGCTGGGATGTCTCCAGAGAAGGAGCCTCCACAGCCTCTCTGGGCAGCCTGGCCCAGGGCTCTGCCACCCTCCCAGGCAACAAGTTCCTCCTCATGTTCAGCCTGACCCTCCTGTGCTCCAGCTGGTGCCCATGGCCCCTTGGCCTGTCCCTGGGCACTGCTGGGAAGAGACTGGTCCCCCCCTCCTGACACCCCTGGAGATCCTGCTCAGCCTTGAGGAGACCCCCCCTCAGTCTCCTCCTCTCCAGCTGAGCAGCCCCATCCCTGGGGGTGTTGAAGGGCAGGTTGGATGGGGCTTGGAGCAGCCTGGGCTGCTGGGAGGTGTCCCTGCCCATGCAAGGGTGGAACTGGGTGGGATTTGAGGTCCCTTCCCACCCAAACCAGTTTGGGATTCTCTGAACTAATTCTAGATAACATGATTTTAATCCAAATGAGCAAAAACTAGAGTTGCTGCATCTCAGACTGACTTGGCCTTTGCCTTAAGAATGATCATGTGACAAGCTGGGCATGTGACATCAAGGAAGAAAAGTGAAAGATGATTATTTTTCATGCTCCTCATCTCTCTAAAAGATGACTCAAAGAATAATCCTGCTGTTTATTCTTCTAGTTCTTGAGGGAGGACTTGAATTACCATGACCCAACAGTCAAGCACAGCACCTTCCATGGAGAAGACAAGCTCATTAGTGTGGAAGATCTCTGGAAGGCCTGGAAAACATCTGAAGGTAAAGGAGACAAAAAGGGAGAAGGGAACCACCTGCTCTGCTCCTTTCCCTCTTGCCATAAAAGTGATAAACACTTGGGATTTCACAGAACCTTGGCAGCAGTGTGTGATCCTCCCAGGAGGAACATTCTGCCCTGCCTGCCTTGAGCAAGTGCTCTTCCAGCTCCCTTTTTCTGGGGTGCATTTTGAGGTTTCATTGGTCTTGGTACTTCCCAGCTCTTTGTGCTGGGATCCAGGTGTGGCCATGGAGGCATTAACTGTCATTCCTCTGCCCCTGGCAATGTCTGTTCAGCTGGAACCAAATGCTCTCCAGTTCCAGGTTCTCCCTCAAATACCCAGTTTCAGCTGGTGGTTTTTGGGGTACTGGCATCCAGGGGGTTCAGCA